TCACCTCTACAGTTTAGTTGGGCTGGTGACAGCAGTGAGCGCCAAGCCAAGTCAGGGAATTGCCTTCTTCCTTCACAGAGTGGAGCTTGTGGCCCGGTCAGTCCAGGCGTTAGGGGGGTGGGCACCGACCGGAGGGGTGGGAAGCTTTGGGGGCCGAGAGGGGAAAGGCACATTTGCTGTACAGCTGGCCGCTCAGTGTGAAGCAGGCACTGTGGACTGTAACGTCACCGGGCAGGGGATCGAGCGAGCTCTCCTCTAACTCTCCTCTCTCTCGTGCTCACGTTTGCTGTTTATGAACCAAGCTCCAACCCGCTGAAACCCGCTGAAACGCGCTGAGACGACAACCGCACATGGGTCGGTTGTTCGTATTTGTTTTGTCTCCCACCAAGACGATGTTTGCAAGCTGTCCTTATACCGTTACTCACTGGAGAAGCCTATCTAGTGCGCCTATTTCGATTTTCACGCATCTCGCTCATTCGTTAGTCAGATCTCGAATCAGTTTAACTCAACTCAACTCAAACTGTATTTATAGAGGACTTTCAAACAGCCATCGTTGCATATAAAATGCTGGACATGGAGCAACGCATTTGCATCGGTGCTGCACTGATGTATTTGTTGCAATATATCTTATCTTAAATTTTGTGGAGCGTTCACACGTATAAAGCTGATTACGAAAGACAAGCGTGTTTGCCCCGGTGCAGCCCCACTTGCGTTCACACGGCTGTTTCTGCGGCCCTGCATTATGGAAATAAAACATGCGCATGCGTAAAGTGTACTTCCTTTTCCCCGCCTTGTTTGTGACATATCGAAAAACCATGGTTTATACTTCTCCAGACAAATCAACGCTGCGGTCTATCAGACACCGTAAAAGGATGAGAGAGAGAAAGGAAAGATGACACAAGTACAAACAGAGCACGAAAGCAACGCATTCAATACGCGTATGTAATCAACTCTTCTCACGTGTAGCGAGTCTACCCCTGTAGCGTTCACACGTTCCCATTTTATATCGGTGCTGCCCCGCAAACTAGCATTTACTCCGGAGTAAATTTTTAAACCACCTCCTGAGCAGGGTTAAATTTGCTCCGGTTTAAGCTGTTTTCAGGGGCTACACCGGTGTAACTTTGTACGTGTGAGCGCTCTACGGGGGGCAGCACCGGTGCTACACCAGAGTAAAAGTTGCCGTGTGAACACCCCTTATCATATATACAACAATAAAGCAATAAATCAGGAACAAGGACGGTACAAAGCACCAAACAGGAAAACTAAGATCAAGTCTGAGTCATGCTGAGTCAAATGTCAAAGAATACAAGTGAGTTTTGAGGCGGGTTTTAAAGATGGGCAGCGAGGGGGCTTGCCGAATGTTCAGTGGGAGGTCATTCCAGAGAGAGGGACCAGCAACAGAAAAGGCACGATCCTTAGTTTAGTTTAGTACATTTTATGCATGAAGATATTTTTTTTGTGATATATTTTTTTTCAAAATGACACAATTTGGGAGAAAATACTAAAAATTGCTTCAACTCACTCTGCCGCGGCTAACATTTGGTTTGACCGTAAAAAAAAAAAAAAAAAAAAAAAAAACATCCTCTAGTTTATCTGCAGCATAAGCGTATTAGTAGTGCCGTATTGTGGCTGCTCCTCTCAATGTAGTCTAACCCACGGGAAACGTCCAATCACGTAGCTCGACTGTTGTTGTAGCTTGACTACCAGTGATTAGTCTGTACCGCATTCATGTTTTCGATGACGAGAAATAAATTCCAAAATGAAATCATGTTCATTGTAATTGGTAGAAATTGTTCAACGTTCAATTATTTACAGAAACACCCAGCCGATAAAAGGTTTTCAGAAAGATTGTTTTGCCAAACTAGAACGCGTGTTTAGTGTATTTGGTTCTCATTTGAGCTTATCTCTACTTGAAATGTTTCCAGTCTAATTCAAGCGCTACAGCGTGATAGCCAGACAGAAGTAGAAAAGGAATCTTGCAAGTGCTCGTGCCAGGTTGCATGGACCCGGCCAATTGATTGGTTACCTCTGATGGCATGAGTGATTCTTTTCTCGAGCATGCACACACCTGATGTGCAAACAATGGACTCGATGGACTTGTATGTAAGAAGTCAATAGATCAAAAGTAGTGCGGGATCAATGGAATAAAAATAAATAAAGGGGTGGAAGCGCATCGGAGCATCGAGCAGAAACAAAGGAAGCCGTGCGTGCTACACAGCGAGTGTGATATCTGCTCGCCTTTATTAATTGGTGATTAATAACGCCTCTCCGTTCGTTAGCGCAGTCACCTCCCGTGCAGCCAAGTGTGCTGCCGCTAATATGCAATTATGTGCACCTTACCGCTTGTTACATTACACCGCTAGCTGACTAATGTGGCATCCATGAGGAGAATTAAAAGCAGAGTGAACCGGTTGAGGGGGGGGTGTAAAGAAAGAAACGTGTGCTGGCAGTGCTATTCTCACATTTATTCAGTGATATTTACTGTATGTCAAGGGTGGAACAGAAAAAAAAAAAGTTTCTTACAAATTCCTCCAAGTTTTGCAGACACTTTTTATTCTCTTTTTGTTACGTGTGTGTTTTTTTTTGTTGTAAAGCAGATATAATTGACATCGCCACAGGGATGCGCCCTCGCCGGGCCAGACAAGCGAGGTCTGATGTGGTCCTCGTCTATTGATTTTTTTTTTTCCTTTTCCCTGACATTTCCGCATACCTCACAGACTGGGCCAACATGTGAGAAAATATCGGATTCTCTCAGTTCATACGATCTGTTTGTACACTGGCCGTCGCTATGCTGCATTGCAATTGGTTGACCGGATGTCGCCATGGTGATGTGCATGTCAAGGGAAATGCTGAGCCGATGAGAAGCATTGTATATTTCGGATTTTCATGTATACAGTACATACTTGAATACATGCATTGTTATTACTCATAAATGTTACTTTATTTCCAGTGCATATTCTTTAATTGGCTAAATGCATCTTAATTAATTAAACTACTACTTCAATACAACAAATAACAAGTAACAAATTGTCTCAAGTAACAAATTTTCTCTTCCCATGAGGCATGACTGTTCACGCAGAAATAATTTAAGACAATTGTAATAACATGTACAATTTAAAATAATTATTTTCTTATTGTGGTGATCGAGAATTTTGGTGTACACCATATTATAATCTATGGTAAAATTTGTTTTGAAATAATTTGGAATTCAACCAGCGTCACAGAGCAGATTTTGTCCATCTTGAGTCCCTCAAAGTAAAACACTGTGAATAATATTTTTTGTTTTTTGTTTCCCACGACCTAGGCAGTACGTCGGTGTTGCATAAAAAAAATACAGAAAAGAAAAATCTTTTAAAGGGTGATTTTGGGGACCGTTTTCTATAAATGTGCATGTTATTCATTTTAGCATATTTTTTTTAAGCCTCAAAACAGCGAGATTTACCATCGTAGCCTGATAGGTGAAGCAGCATGTGGTTCATTACCCAGGGTTATTTTCAAATGCCATTTTTCCAATTAACTGTAAACTGTATATTGGTGATCATGAGATGACTTCTATTCACCAGCAGCTGTGTTACTAACACCATGTGCTGCATTATGTGTATTGACACACTCTTTCCCAGCGTTAACTCAAGTAAACTAGTTCCACAACAATGTCATTCTTTTTAAGAGCCAGTACCTCACGGAGGACTCACTTTCAGGGTCCTTTAATGCAGTTTGAATGAAGGTAGGCTCCACTTCTGCATCAGTCTATGTTTTATTGATATATACAGGAGGGATGTCTCCTTTAGAGTGTTAATGCCAACCCTTGTTCTAAAGTGAAGCCCATAAATAGTGGATGATCGGAATTAACCTCTGCATTACTTCCCCCCCATCGGTGCCTGGGGTGTCACCCCTGGATGTGCACCCCTGGTCCGATGGGGTTGCTTAGAAGGCTGGCCAGAGGTGGGTGGTGGTGGTGGGGGTGCTTGGGAGGTGGCTGATAGGGGGAGTGCAAATACATAGTCCCCCCTCGCTAAAGGTCAGAACTTCGAGCTACACCTCTCAAATCCCACAAGCGGCCCTGAAGAGACTGAGGTTCCAATCCTACCTGGTGATGCTTTTGGGCTGACGGCCTTGCACTGCTATTGAACAAGTTGTCAGCGCTAATAGCGCCGTGACGGGCGTGGTTTAACTTTGCGTCGGGGCTCCTACTTAAGCTGGCCTGTAATACAAGTGTTGGTTACCAGCGAATCGCAGGGCACAGGTAGACAAACAACCGTTAACACGTTGACATTCACACCTATGGAGAGTTTACAGTCTTCGGTGAACCTAAGGTGCATATCTTCGGAAGTGTGAGGAAGCAAGAGTAGCTAACTGTGAGACAGACGTGCTAACCACTTGTGCATCGTGCGCTCGTAAAAATATAATGCATAATTTACAGCAATTGGGTGCAGGCAAAGCTGGAGAATGTATCTAGAACCCTTTTTTGACCCCCGAAAATAAATTAGTTTCTTAAAAAGCTCCAATTTTGACACGCTGAAGAAGTTCTCGGAAGTGCAGTGTGAGCGTTTTGGTGTGCCCCCCCCCCCCCGAAAAAAGATGAAGATACGGCTTTTACGTCGGCAGTAGCTGACGGGGGAGGGGGGGCGGTAGGAGGAAGCAGGGGGGGTGGGGGGGGCATAGGGCTCTGAAAAGGCCCCCCAGCGTCAAAGCCTTAATAATCATGTGAGCAGCGCTGGACTTCATTACCCTCCTGTTCGACAGGCCGAGTGCCAGCCCGGATTGCTGGCTGGCTGTGGCAAGGTCAACGGCGGAGGAAAAACCAGTTACTGTGTTACTCTGGAGCGGAATGGAGAGAGGGGCGGCCATCTGTCAGCTCGGGTCTGCCATACCCGCAGAGCAAATGGACACGGGCGACCAGAGGAGAGGCCGCAGACACCCATAGAGCCGAACCCAGTGAGCATAACACGGAGGCGCGGGCTCAGCCAAAGAGATGGGCCTTGGTACCACTAAAACACATATATACACACACAAAGCCGAGCGTGCAAGACTATATCTGCAAGAAATTTGGCAGGCACTTTTGTGTGTTTATGCTTGTTTGTTTTCAGTGTCAGCACACTACTGGGCCCTACTGTTTTAAGTCCAGATGGCAGACCATGTGATAAAAAAAAAAATAAAAAAAAAAAAGTTGATAAAAAAGTTTTTGCTTGGCTCGCCAATAGTAAAATGTTTTGATCATAGCATTGCTTTTTAAGGACCACTTATTGTACTTTACGTATTGGGACCAAAGGTAGGGGGACCAGTGGGTAAAAAGTGTTTTCCTTCAAGTGACCAAACAAACATTTACTGCCATATCTAGGTGTAGTGTGTGTGTGTGTGTGTGTGTGTGTGTGTGTGTGTGTGTGTGTGTGTGTGTGTGTGTGTGTGTGTGTGTGTGTTTTGCAAGGACCTTTATGATGTCCTCTCGGTAAAGTGGAGGAACCCTGTGGAATGTTCCAGAGCTCTCTAATAGGTTTCAGGTGCTGCAGGCCACCAGCCAGCCCCCAAAATTCCCTGTCTTGTGCAATAGGACACTCGCCTAAAGGACACGGCACAACTATCGAATTGTTTTCTGTCAAATGTTCACCTTGGAAATTTTAAAAGCGGCTCAAAATGGATCAAAATCCTACTGATAATTTACAATGGTTTGTCTCATCCGTGGGTGTTGAACTGCGAATATGCAGGGATTGAAAGTAGTTTTAAATTGCAATGTCACCAGTCACCAGTAGATGGCAGAGGTGTTAGTTGCACATCGCCAGTACATGCATTGATAAATGTTTTATAAATTAAAATAGTCATTCTTCATTTCTTAGACTGATTTTCTGCAACATGCTATCTTTTTTCTTTTTAAGTTGGTTGGCCTACCAACACCTCTAATATTGCTCCTAGTGTATTTAGTATCTGGCAACCGTTAAGAATTGCGTGCAAAGGTTTGAAGCAAAATTTTAAAAAGAAATAAATAAAAAAAGAAAACAATTATTCCTGACTGCTTGCTTTAAAAAGGTTGATCTCAGATGGAAAATCGATGTCTTGAGCACTAATTGGCAAAGGTGCTGCAGAAACGCAGCCTGTGTCCTCAACATTCCGCAACTCAGCACAGCTAAAGTTGCTGCTTGTTTTCTTCTCGCATCCCCCGGCTTAAGCATCCACATGCTCCGGAAAACAGGGAGATGGTCCTGGGCAATTCCCCCGTACCCCCCTCCTCAAATTAATGGAAATCACACAGGAAACTCTCTGGATGAAAGCCTTATTAGTTATTAAGGTTTAATGTGTAGCGCTGCTTTTTTACAGTATTTACCGGAGTGTTCGGTGCTGCTGATGTGGAATTGTCAGGGAGGTGCTGATATAGAAAAGAATTGGTGTACACCGTGGTCTTAATTAAGGAGATCTATTTCCATCTTGTTAGCGGGAGATAAGGTGAGTGCTGCCATGCATCACAAGTTCTCGTATTATACGCTACTTCCTGTCATATTACATCCACCGCTGTTGTCACTTCAAGACTGGAGTGCCAAATTCTATATCCAAGTGTGATGGGGTAAAAAGTGCAAAATGTGACACGTTTTTTACAAAGATGTAGATTTCGTTCTATTTTTTTTTCTCTTTCTACCTTTCGTTTTTGTTTTTTTTTTTGTTTTTTTTTTTAACACTGCTTTGTCACAAGTGTCTCTGTCTCTGCAATGGTGAGCTCGAATCTTGAGACAAGGTCTGTGATGTTGGTGGACCAGCCGGGTCACCTCCAATGTTGTGTTAGCGCTGCTAATGTTCAAGACTGTGGTCAGCAGTGCTTTTAAAAGAAGCCATAGGCAACCTTTGTTCGATCTAACGATCTCATTAGATCATGTTAATTGCATACGGGCTCGTGATAAGCACAATAGTCTCACTGTTGTCACACTGATGACCACGAATCACCAATTGGTTGAGCAGCCGGGACACCTCGCGAGTTGTCATTGCACAAGCGTCACTGCTAATGTTCAGTACTGTGTGCAATTTTCATTTTCATTGGAATAAGCATAACAGTGTCGCTGCCATTGCAATGACGACCATAAATCCTCTATTTTAGCTGGCAAAATATGGATGGGCCAGCATGGACACGTCATTTTGGATTTGCAATAGCAGGACAGCTAATTTTTAATTTGGAAAAACGGCTGTGCTGTTTGTATGGATCAATAAATCAAGGCTAATTTAATTTTCTTTCCCCCCAAAAAATTATTCACTGTTAAAACAAGTATGGTACATGCAACAACGATCTCTTAAAAATCATGCGAATGGATTGTGATAAGCACAATAGATAATTACTATTTTTGGATGAGTTTTCCACAGTTGTGGCGGATTGGCCAGGACACCTCTCATATTTGCCCGACATTTTTTTTTTTTTTTTTGAAATTTCTTTTTTGTACAGTGATTGTATTCCTAACGGCATGTTCCATTTCCAAACCGCTAATACGACGTGGCCTCTTTTTGTCCCGCTCGCCGCCTGGAGACGCCAACCTTAAGCCACTCACTGGCTGATTAATCTTTAACATTCATAATTACTAATTAAGTTAGTAAGAGACTTTTAATGTAGCCTTCCTTGTGAGGACAACAGATCATTAGCTTCAATAATGAACGGGGATGAGACGCATAATGGCCTGTGATAGGTGAATAGTGACAGTATGAAATGAGGCGCGTGCATGGGTGATAGTCGCCCTGCGTGGACACCCAAAAAGGTGCCAAAGTGCTCTTGCGGATGGTGCATTAGGAATTTCATCTTAGGATTCATTAAAACATATATAATCAAGTCTGTATTTACATGAACATCTGCAGCGGTAACTGTGTCATCCCCACTTTTTAAATACAAACATTATTTATTCATTCACCCTGGTTTTGGTCTCCCTAATGCCTTTGCTGTATCTCATTATCACATTATTGCATTAGCCTCGGCATTATCATGGTGGCTGTAAGTTGCTGCCCATTAAAAGAGTCATTTCATCTCTTGTTTTTTGTTTTGTTTTTTTTTAAGCGACGATGCAACACTGGCACATTTTTGTGAGCCGTCCCCCAATGGGGGAAGGTGCTTATGCCGTAATGATTATTATCATTAAGAAGATATTAATGTGCTTAGTGTTTGTGACCCAGCTGCTCATGGCGGCCCGGAGGGGAGGGGACGAGTGGGTGGGCGATAGGGCTGCCAAAAAACGGACAGTGCGCGGAGATTGCCACTGCCCACCTGTCTGGAAATTTCAGGGTCGCTTAAGGTTGAGCCTACCAAGCACCCTGAAAAAAGCCAGCAACTTAACAGTATCACCCATTCAATTGGTGGAGGGAATGTGAGTGTGTTGTGTATGTTGCTGGGAGTACTTTATTCACATTAGAAATTACTAAATTATATAATATAAACTAATTGAGTTCCGACACATTCACAATGTTTTAGATTGCGTAGAGCAGGGGTCCCCAACCGCGGATTCTCCTTTACATCCGTCTGTGTCCAGCTTGACACACGTCAAGCCACGCTTCTCCGTAACGCGACCAATTAGGCTAAAAACAAACACCGGAGCTCGCAAAATGAGTAAAAAAACTGCTGGAGATCGCAAATGACGGCGGCCTTAAAAGTACGTTCGAGACAACTGGATTAAAGTTATGTCTGAATACTCTGAGATCGCCACAATAGCACTTTTGCTATTTCCGACATCCTACCTGTGTGAGGCGGGGGGATTATGCAGCAACGGCGACGAAAACAAAATTACGAAGTAGACTGGACATAAACCACACACTTGCGGTGTCATTGTCTCTCCTATTACCCCGAGATGGGACCGTCTGGTTGCAGAAAATCAAGCTCGGTGCTGTGGTGAGTCGTCATTTTCATGCACTTTGAATTTGCGTTGTATCATATTTTGAAGGCATTAAACATTGCCATAGCGTTGCGGCCAGATTAGACGCTCCTTGTGTTTATTATTATATTTCGAAAACACCACAGTTTTCATGCAGCTCATACCATATTATTTTGTTGTATTATTTCCGCCACACCTTAAATGCCGGTCCCTGAAAAAATTGTCTGACATAAACCGGTCCGTGGGGCAAAAAAGGTTGGGGACCCCTGGCGTAGAGGAGTAATGTGGCACAAAAAGACATGCTCAATTACCGCCATGATTGCCGTTTTACCATTTCATTGTTTTATATTTAGGTCCGACAATCTTTCTTTTTTTTTTACTAATAATTTAAAAGGACAAGTCATTTTGTGGCACAAGATGACACGCTCATTTACCACTGTCCTTACTGTTTCTCGTACTGTTTCTCAAACAAACACATTCCAATTATGACTTTAGTCCTCTGTTTGTGACTATGGTGCCTTCTGACCTTCAAATTCGGGTTACATTGCCCATAGCAGCAGAACACCAAACGGAGTAGAAAGATTAGAATGTACAATGGTGTCTCCGACAACATCCAAAGACCTACGAACTTTTCAACATGTCATTGTGACACTTTGAAAACCACCACACTATAGCCAAACAACTGAATATATGCGCGTGAGTTAGCTTAGCTTAGCTTAGCTTAGTTTAGCTTAGCTTAGCTTAGAACCAAACAACCCAACTCAAATTGACTGAGCTGGCACAAAAGAGACATTCTAACGTGACAGAGGTATAGCATTTGCTTAATTAGCAGCAGAAGCTAGCCAAGCCGCCACAACTTCACAACAAGACCTCGATTTGTGAAAATAGTAGCTTGTTTATCGCTTACTTTTTTGTAAATAGTTTTCCAGAATCTCTTATGAGGACTCATTTACAAAAGTGCCTTACTAAAACACTGTGTGAGGCAATGGAATGAAGGGGAAGCGGTGTCACCTAATAGAGAAATTCACAACACGCATAATACATCAACTGACCACATTAGGTTATCCCATTGTTAATTTAACAATAGGTTTATACAAATTTGGTTTGCAG